CTCAAATCCCTATACCTATTCAAGTCACAAGTTACGTTCAGCTTCTGCGACTGACATAACATGGACACTCAGATACTTCAAGTAAATGTCTCTCTTAAAATCAGTGCACATTTACGCGCTAATTTGAGACCTCGATCCGTCTATTGGTTGGACACTGATTCCACCTCTTAGCATGAGCCACACCTTCGCTTATATGGGTCTCAGTTTTTCTCGTGCAATTATGGAAGCTGCAGACTTTGAAGAAGCTAATTCCTGACCCTGAGCTGAAGCTCAAAAAAGGCCTGGAAAACCAGCGCGATTGCCCACCTTGAAAAAGTTCAGCTTTAACCCTGAGCGAAAGCCAAAGAAGGCTTAGAATTCTGTTATTCCACAAAGGCGGGAATAGGCAAAAGTTATTTTGATAACTCTATTGAGTAACATTAGCATTAGCTCATCGGCACTGTAGTACATATAAGATCTCAGATCAGGTCTAGTGGCTTTAGGGAATTGCACGTTCATTTAGAATGGCATTAATTATCCAATACTTACCCATGAAATAGTAACGATGAGCATAGAAGGAATGACAATATTCATCGAATAGAAACCCATATTTCTGACAAGAAGAATTTCGAAGTATAAACGCCTATACGACCCTGAAATGAGGATCATTCAGTTTTTATCAAAGTGATTAGTCAACGGTGAATATGACAATATTGCATATTCTAAACGTGTCATTAAAGGCAGGTGGTGCGACAAATTAAAGTTCTAAAGGGGAATATGTTAATGCATCTACTATAAAGGGATGCAGGTCTTTTAATGGGACGGGATGATGCGCGTCCTGCTGCATTGGAAGGGCTCGTAGCAGCCTCAAAAGGCTGCTTTTTTGGCGGTGCATTCTTTTCGCGATTGTCCATGCCCGCCGATTGAATACTTATCTTAGATGGGTTTACGGACAACCTGAACCTGGTCCTTCAAACCCGTAAGTTGATGCTCTTGTCTGAACATGATTACTGTGATCTCACACAGTCGAACTTTTGCCACACTGTTGTTGCTCCACCCAACCCTAGAGCCCTCCACCTTCCAGGGCTTAGTTTTAAGGCTTTCTCTTCTTTGGG